CTAGATAGAGTGGAAGGGAGGGAGAAAAACACTGATGTGAGACTGGGGATCAAACCTGCAAACCAGGTACGTGCCCTTGACTGGAAATTACACACACAACCCTTGGGTCAGTGGGCGGACACTCCAACTGCTAGGCCAAACTGGCCAGGGCTAAAAACTTCTTAAATTTGATGAAAGATATAAAGGTACTGATTCAAGAAGCTCAGTGGGCACCAAAAAAAAAAAAATAAGCTCATGGAAACCCATGTCCCCATATCATAAACTACTAAATGTAAAGACAAAGAAAAACGTCTTGAAAGGCAGAGAAAAACAATGCATGAAATAGGAGGGACAACAGTTTGAATGACTGAGTTTCTCATCAGAAACCAGATGCCAGAAGGCAGCAGAACATGTTTAAACTGCTAAGAGAAAGGGAAACAAAACAAAACTGTCAACCCAGAAATCTATATTCTGTACAAATATCCTTGGGGAATAAGGTGAAATAGAGACAGTATCAGATTGTGCTCACTTAGGCAGTACATATGCTAATTGGGATGATGCCACCAAGGGTGGCCTAGCCCCTGCACCAAGGTGACACAGGAATTTGTGAAGCATGCCATGTGTTACAATGTGCGGCAGGGTGACTACAGTTAATAACACTGTAGTGCATATTTGAAAGTTGCTAAGAGAGTGATCTTTAAAGTCCTCGTCACAAAAATATATTCTTTAACTGTGTGGTGACCGTTTCACAATATATACAAATCTTGAATAATTATGTTGTATACATGAAACTAATGTTGTAAGTCAATTATACCTCAATAAAAATACAGTAAACCCTCGCTGTAACAGACTAATTTGGGCAAGGGGTGGCCGTTAAAACCCAAAGTCCATTATACAATAAAGTAGATTTTCTGAATTCATATGTTAAAAAATCGACAAAGTAGTTAGTTTACTTGTTTTTACTTATATAGACACCCTTGTGTAATTAAAATTAAGTATGTATGGCCTGCCTGGTGTTGCTCAGTGGATTGAGCATCATCCCATGGAGTGAGAGGTCCTGGTTTGATTCCTGGTCAAGGCACATGCCCGGGTTGCAGGCTGGATCCCCAGTAGGGGGCGTGCAGGAGGCAGCCGATCCATGTTGCTCTCCCACATCAATGTTTGTATCTTTCTCTCCTTTCTTCTCTTTCTAAAAAAAAAAAAAAAAAACTCTGTGAAAACATATTTTAAAAAATTAAGTATGTATGAAAAGTTTAATTTCACAGAAAAGTTTTCTACGTGTATTACAGTAATTTTAAGTTTATACTGAATAATCTAGTAAATGCGAGTAAAACAGATGAACACAGCTAGGGTGTGGCTTAGCTCACGTCAGAACATTGGCCAGCACACATTAAAACTGCTGCAGAGCCCTGGCCACTGTGGCTCCTGGTTAGAGCATCCGGCCCACACAATGAAGGGTCTCAGGTTCGATTTCCAGTCAAGGGGACATACCTGGGTTTCAGGTTCGATCCCTGGCCCCTGTCAGGTTGCATCCATGAGGCAACTGATAGAGAAGCATCAATCAATGTGTCTCTCTCACACTGATGTCTCCACCCCCTTCCCTTCTACTCTCTCTAAAAGTCAATGAAAAGAATATTCCTCAGGTGAGGATTAACCATAGAAAAACAAAGGACATCAAACAGTGAATTAATTACAAAAAAAACCTTGTTAATTTAATTATAAGCAAATATTGGTTAAAATGTGACTCAGTTGGCTGAGCATCATCCTGTGCACCAAAAGGTTGATGGTTCGATTCCTGGTCAGGGCATATGCCCAGGTTGTGGGCTTGATCCCTAGTCTGGGTGCATGCGGGAGGCAGTCAATCAGTGTTTCTATCACATCAATGTCTCTCTCTCCCTCTCCCTTCCTCTCTCTCTAAAAATCAATAAAAGCAAATTATTTTTAAAAGTAAAAGGGTGGAAAAAATACATACCATGCAAACACCAAGTGTGACAATATACATGTAAACCAATTATAGACAATGGGACTTGCCTACGTTGTTGCCGGGACTGTAAATGGTATAACCAATATGTAAAATTACTTGACATTGTGAAAAACACACCATGTCACCTGCACTTCCACTCCAATAGAAATGTACACATAGATGCACCAAAGGACTTGTTCTAGAATGTTTGTGGCCATGTTACAACAGCAAATTGGAAAAAGTCAAGTGTCCATAAACAATCTTATGGATAAAATGTAGTACTGTATATCCATATGACAGAGTACTATGCAGCAGTAAGTAAGTGAAGCAATCCACAGTGACAGGGATGAGTTTCGCAGCCATCACGTTGAGTGAGAGAAGCCAGACCCAAAGGAATCCACTCAGTAACAAACAAAACCAGCCTATGAGATTAGACGTCAGAAGAGCAGTGTTTTGGGAAGAGGGTGGGAGAAATGATTAGGAGGAGCCTGGCAATGTTCTATTTCTTGCTCTGGGTGGTAGTTTCATGATCTATATGTTTTATGCCCTTTTCTGGAAGTGAATTATAAGTCAACAAAATTTTTGAAAAAAAATTTTTATTATTATGTTTTTCCCTCACCTGAGGATATTTTTTCACCTATTATCAGATAGAGTGGGAGGGAGGGAGAGAGAGAGAGAAACACTGATGTGATAGAGCCACATCAGTTGGTTGTCTCCCTCATGACTCAACCAGGGCCAGGGATGAACCACAACTGAGGTACGTGCCCTTGACCAGAATCGAACCCATGACTCATTGGTCCACAGGCCGATGCTCTAACCGCTGAGCCAAACCAGACAGGGCAACAATTTTAAATTTAAAAATTTGCATGGAGGTATTAACAGAGGAGGTGCTGATCTTGCTGTGGGAAGAAAGAGATTTAGAAGAGAAATGATTTGAGGATTAGAATTAGGCAGACAAGTACTTATGAAGCATTGCCATATGCCAGAAGCATCCTACAGGTTTTCCTATATGCCATCTCATTCAACCTGCCCCAATTAACCAACGAGAAAATGGAGACAGTGATGGTGATCAAGTACTGTCTGAGTGATGCTCGGGATTGACTCTGACTCTCAGTGCCATGAGGTGTAAATCAGGGTGCTGTGCGGAGGCCGTCTCCTCTGTTGGCGGACTCTGACCTTGCATCCAAGCATTCAACCCCGAGATGCCCTGATTGTCCTGGAAGACGAAGATGTTCTTGTAGCCCTAACTTCCATCCCTTCTGGAACCTTGCTGCCCGCAGTGCATTGTGAATTATATAGTTTTCTTAGAGGTAGCCTAAAGAGCGTGTGCTATACTTTGTTGCATATAATAAAACCACCTCTTGGTTAAATGTAAATGTTTAAAATATACCAAATTTTTTATAATCTTATTTGGTGACATCCTCATTTCTTCATACATTTAGAGCCTCAGGAAACAGAAGGGGCTCAGGCCCTGCCATCCTCGGGGGGCTCCAGTTCTATCACAGATGAGAGATGAGCCCAAGAAGGGCTTTCCTTTTTGCTTCCCTTCAGCTGTTCCCACTGGGCCATGCTGTCCGTGGTCAAGTCAACAGACCTTATAGTCCATAAAGGTAGCACAGGGTTTATTAAAGCATTCAGGAGAGGAGGCAAGGGTGGGACTCCTGGGTAATGCCTGCTTTGTGATCATCATGCAAACAACGTGAGGCTGATAGCAGGTGGCCCTTGCGTCCTCCCTGGATCTCCTCAGGATGGCACCAGGCTGCTTTGAGGTTCACTCGGTGGGCCCGGGGGCGGGGGGGGGGTCGTTACCATCGCCTCTCCTTGCAAGGCCTTTGCTTTGGACTTTGTTTTTTTTTCTACACTTCACTGCACCCCATCCCTTCTCCCCAGCCCACCCATCTGTGCCAGGGAGGGCAGGTCTGGAATGCAATGCTTTTGCTAAGGTGCAGGCACTGGTCTCTTGTGGCGGACATCTAATTACCCCAGCATGTAAGGCAGTTCTCCCCATATCCCTTCCCACCGAGGGCTGAGGCTGAGGCCATGAGGACGGACGGGGAGAAGGGACCCAACCCAAGCAGCCCAGCAAAATTTGGGTGCCAGGACTTTCCGTAGCCAGTCGATTCTAAGGTAGAGAGGACTAAGGACTCAGCTGCAGGACCGATCTGTAGTCAAGAGTTGCCTGGCTGCTGGGTCACAGTCCCTGTGCTGGGTCAGCAGGCAGAAGGGAGGCAGGAAGGAACTGCTTGGCCCAAAGCCTGGCTCCTGGCAGCACTGGCTGAGGGGCCAGGGCAGGGAGGGAGGAGAGCTGGGACTTGGGGCAGCACCCGGCCAACTGAGCCCTTCTCGGGTGCCTGCTGGGGCAGATTCCTTGGAGAGGGGGCTCTCCTCCATCTACTGTGTTAGGAAAAGAGAAGAGGAGGACCCGGAGGTGCAGAGAAACAAGGAAGCACCAAGTCCTGGGACTGGAGCTGGAAGTGAGGGCTGCTTCTCTCCCTCTGGTTTGAGGCTGAGGGTGGCCTCCAGGGGTGGAGAAGGAGGGAGCTAGGCGACAGGGCAGATAGATGTGAGACCCAGCATGTCAGTGACCAGCACTGCGAGTTGGACTTGACCTAGAAGATTCCTGGTCTCCACACTTGGAAAGGGGACTAACTAGGCACACGCAGGGCCGTGGGGAGCCTCAGAGTGCTCTGCAGACTGCTTGGCTCACAGTGAGTCCTGAATAAACGGTCTTAGTCCTGGTACACGCCTTAGCCTACACTCTGGCACGGGGTTGGGGGGTGGTGGCTGTGGCTGGCATCCTTGGAGTAAAATGCTCCAGGATTCGGAAATTCCTAGGAAGGAAGAGACTAAGAAGACTGGTGGCCCGCCCCGCGGCTCTGCCCCGCCGGCGAGGACCATCTGATGCGCAAGCCGCCTTTCGCTGAGGGTTTCTGGCTGGAGCAAGTGGAAGGACCTGCTCGGCGGGAGAGTTTTTGTCCCTCCCAGGCGACGTCCGATGGGTGTGTCGGGCAGGAGGTGATATTTGACGGGCTGCAGGCAGTCGGCTTGGGAGCCCGGCGCCAGGCAGGGTGCGAGCATGGCCTCCTCGAACTCACCGCCCCCCACCAGCATTGCGCCGCCCGACGTGCCCTCCGGGTTGTCGCTGTTCCTCACAATTCCCTACGCCTTCTTCCTGCCCGAGCTGGTGAGTACGGCTGCGGACCCGGAGGGCTGCCTGCGGGGGACCCTCCCGCCCTGGGGAGGGGCACCCGGCCGAGCTGTTACTCTCCGCTCCCTCCTGCGCTCCCCGCGGCCCTGCAGCGCGGGTGGGTTTCCTCCTTCCCCCACCCCCACCGCGGGTAGTGATTGGAGGGGAGGGGCTGCTAGAATATTCTGGATCATCGGAAAGGTTTTGGAAATGGACTTTTATGTTATAGCTTCTTTTCTCTGGCTACTTGTTTGTGCTAAAGTTCCAGATGGGGGACTCTGTCTCTCCCCCTCAGAGGTCTTGCAGGATCTTCTTATCAAATCAGCTGGCTTTGAACTTTGACTTACTGGACTCCCCCTAAGAGGGCGCTTATGACAACCTTGGCCATAAAATAGTTGGGTGAGCCACGCAGTCTGCACAACCGAGAACCTGTCACCACACTGGTTCCCTCTGGGACGCCCGTGGCAGAGTTGCGGTCCAATTCCTGCCAGACACTGATGTGCACACAGTGTTCACTGTGCTCGGCACCCGCTGAGCCGCTGTCATCATCCTCCCTTCACTGGTGGGGACACTCGAGTCTGGCAAACAAACCAGGGCAAAGGAGTTTGTTTTTCCACTCCTTCCGAAGTACCTAGCTCGTGGGCGATACTTCACCGGAGGACCGGGGCATGCTGCGCCAGGCAGGGAGGGACAGATAGAACGGAGTTCCAACTTTCAGACGGACCTGGCCAGGCCTCTCATTCTTGTCATCGGCTTGAAAGGCTGGGCCCAATTGAGCGACCTTTTGGCAAACTGGTTAAAGGACGCAACCAGAAAGGGAGCTCGGAGGGGCGGGCCCAACACTTGGGTGGCTCCAGCTGAAACCTCACCCAAGAAGCAGGTTTCTGTCAGACCTGCCCCCCAGGGGACAAGTGTGGGCATCCTGCCAGATTGATGACATCTCAGTGCTCTTTTAAGTTCTCTGTGCCGCGACTTGGGCGTGTCCCTCACCTCAGAACTACATGAATTGCCAGGATCGTGGTTGATCACATGTCCATCAGGCAAGCCGCTGGTGAGCACTTTCTCCCCAGCACGCATACTGTGCTCCAGGAGGTGACCGGGTAGGCACCAAGGAGAGGCCCTCTGACCTCCTCAGGTCCAGCTGGGGAGAAGTCCATGCCCATCTCCAGAAGGCTACTGTGAATCTGCACGTCAAAGGACAGGCTCAACTTCTAGTCTGGGGGGAGGGGGAAGAAGCAGGAAGAGGGAAAGTCCCAGAGTCCAGGAGAGATCTGTGGGCTGGAGGCTGGAGGGATGAGGCTTCTAGAATCAAGAAGGCACCGGATTGAGCCCTGGCCGGGTGCTCAGTTGCTTGGAGTGTTGATTCCCAGTCGGGGCATGTGCAGGACAGCTATGCTGCGCTCTGGGACATCACTATCTTAGGGGGTGGGATATGCTCAGTTTATTCATTTATTTTTCTTTTGAAATTTTAGATTTATAGCAAAGCTGCAGTAATAATACTGAGATTTCCATATACTCTTTACTCAGCCTCTCCTAAGGTCTTGTATAGTACAACTACCAAAATTAGTAAGTTAACATTGCTACTCTGTATCAACTGCCCTATAAACCTATTAAAGTCTGCTGATTCCCTCTCCCCACATGTCTTTTTCTTTTGGTCTGGGATCCAGTCCAGGATTCCACCTTTGCGTTTAGTTGTCATGTCTCCTTTTCTCCTTTCATCTTCGGTAATTCTTCAGTCTTTGTCTTAACACTTTTGAAGACTATGGATCAATTATTTTGTATAATGTCCCTCTATTTGGCCTGTGTAATGTTTCTTCATTACAACTTTATTTTTACTTCACAAGTAATCCTTATTCATTGTTGAAAACACAGAAAGAAATAGAATTCATGTATAAGCATATATATATATACAGTTTTATCCACAGTTTGGCTTTCCGGATTTCAGTTACCCATGGTCAACCGTGATCTGAAAATATTAAATGGAAAATTCCAGAAATAAACAATGTATACGTTTTAGATTGTGCACCATTCTGAGTGGCATAACGAAATCTCTCGCTGTCCCGTTCTCTCCAGCCCAGGACATGAATCGTCCCTTTGTCCAGCGTATCCACACTGTAGACGCTTCCTGCCTGTTGTAGCCATCTTGGTTACCAGACAAGGGTCACCATAGGGAGGAATCACTGTGTGTTCAGATCACCCTTATTTTACATAAGAGTGGCCCCCAAACCACAGGGGTAGTGATGCTGGCAATTTGGAAATACCAAAGGGAAGCTACAAAGTGCTTCCTTTAAGTGCAAAGATCTCAGTGTATGCAGTGGGCAGCATAGCCAGGAGACCAGGGTCGGAGAGGGGTTTCTACTGGCTGACTGCACTTCCCTCTCCAGCCCAGCATGTCTTCTGCCCACCGGGTCAAGAATCAGCCACTCATGCCCTGGCCAGTGTGGCTCGGTGGTTAGAGTGTCGGCCCGCACACCAAAGGATCGCATGGTCGATGATTCTCAGTCCAGTGTTATCTGTCATAAAGCTGTAACAGTATCAAACCAGGAAACCGACAGTGGTAGGACGTGTCTGCTTAGGTATATGTGTCTGTATTTTCACTTTATGAAAGACCCACCTCAGTACTTGCTTTCACTAACCGAGAGAAATCTGAAGAGGATTTTTGCTTTTATGAAAAAGGCAAAAATAGCAGTGCTCAGTGCTAGTTGGCAGTAACCCATGGAGGCGGTGGCACCCCAGCAGAGAGGGTGGCCCACCCCGCTCCCTAAGGTAACTCGTGCCTAAGAGAGCTCCACAGGGTGTTACACAGCGTAAAACTGGATGTAATGAAGTGCATTTGGTGTGATTTGGTAGGTTATTTTTTGGGTCTGTGAACACTCAAAAAGTTTTTTATGTAAATTAATGGTAATTGCTTCTTAGCTTTATGTCATTTTGGCTTCAGAAGGTTTCTTAGGAACCTCCACTTTTGGCCGGGGGCAGGGAGCTATACTTCTCTGTCTTCTCACATACACGGATTCATGCAGCCACCACCACAACCAAGACACAGACCTGTTCAGTCCCACAAAGGCCTCCCCACTGCTTCCCTTTTATAATCTCCTCCCTCCCACTCCAACCGTCTTCCCCCTCCCCTCCCTGAACCCTGGAAACCACTCTCTAAGTCTGTCTCTACAATTTTGTAATTTTGAGAAAGTGAGATAAATCAATGGATTACACAGCCGGTGGCTTTTTGAGACTGACTTCTTCCCCTCCGCATAGTTCCCGGAGGTCGACCCAGGTAACTGTGTGTGTATCAGCGGTTCTGGTTCCTTCCTTTTCACTGCCTCCCGTGCTCCCGGGAGAGGATTCGCTGGTCTGTCTAAGCAGGGACCCATCGAGAAGCACTTCAGTTGCTCACGGTTGTTAGCTGTTCTGAATGAAGCTGCATGGACCTCACGTAGGCTTGTGTGTGCACATGGTTTTCCCTTCTCTGGGAAGATGCGAGCGTGACGGCTGGATTGTGTAATAAGCGTATCCTTGGTTTTATTAAGAAACTGGCAAATCCCTTTCCAGAGGTGCTGTACTATTTTACATTCCCATCAGAACCGGAAAAAGACTTTTGATATTTTAACATTCAAATTTATGTTAGAGTGGAATTCAGACTTCTCATTCGAAAACAGTATTCATTGCAAAATATAGTCTCTTTGATTCAGGGAGTGTGGGTGCCTGCTGGTGCCAGCCCTGGGCAGGGCCTGGGGACCAGGCGACTCACCCCGCCCCCCTTTCTTCAGAGCAGACAGTGCTGGGTGTGAATGGGGAGGGGTGTGGGGGGGGGTGACCCTGTGATTACCTGATTCCCTACATGGTTGACTCCTCTGCTCTTTGCTCTTTTATGAGCTGGGAGGTGACTCAGGTGACTAGGACTATGAGTATTTTATGAATTAGAGTCCAGGGAAGTCTTGTAACTTTTGACCTTTTCACTACTTAAGTACCAATTAGATTTTCGGCTAATTAAAAAGAAATAGCTAAGAAGATTTCTAGAGAGGCAGCAAGTTAACAGGTGAGATGATTCCCTGGTGTTGGCTGTTTTCCCCTGAGCTACCTGCACAGCAAGTGGCCAGAGGAAATGCTCTCCTCCCAGGCAGGGCTTCCCGCTGGGGAAGTGGGGGGGGGGGGTCTCCCCAAGTCCCCCGCTTCCCCTTCGCATCAGCCTGCAGCTGCTTTTACCCCGTTCCCACGTTTGAGACTTGCTGAGACCTGAATGTAGGGTCCACTGTGAGGGGCTGAGAGCAAGATTCGGCTCACTGTGGGCCGGATTAGGGCAGGCGCCTTCGTTACCGCTTTGCCTTCGAAGTTGGGTTTTCCTTGGTTCTGAGCTCCTTTTCAATTCTCTTTGCTTCTGGGAAGTAGCAGAGGTTAACCCCGTTCATGGATTATCGTGAATAATCTCTTAGAGCTCCTGCCCCTTGTTCAGTCCCGCCTTACCGGCCTTGCCTGGGTCCTGCTGGACTCTGAGTGAGGAGTCAGCCTTGAAAACCCCCAGGAGGCTTGCGACCACAGGAGGCAGAATAGGAAGGGGAGGTGAGAGGACACAGAGGGGCTGGGAGCGTGGGAGGGGCATGGCGCGGAGGCCAGGAGCTGTACAGGCCCTGGGTCGGTCCCTCCAGCCGTGCATCCCCTTGGCTCCCCTGCGCCAGGCCCAGCCCTCGCTCTGGGAGGCCCCCAGAGCATTGGGGTGCAATAAAATAGTTCTTTGGGCAGCCCTGGCCGGGTAGCTGACTTGGTTGGAGCATTACACTGTACAACAAAAGGGTTGAGGGTTTGATTCCTGGTCAGGTCACATACCTAGGTTTCAGGTTCAATTCCCTGTTAGGGCGTGTATGGGAGGCAACTGATCAATGTTTCTCTCTCTCCTTTGCTGTCTCTCTAAAATTAATAAGCATATACTCTGGTAAGGATTTAAAAAAAATATAGAGTTATCAGACGGGTTCTGCTACTTGATCAATGTGAGACCCCGGGCAGGT